TGCAGCTGATGGTAGCAGAAAACAAACACTGTCAAGAAAAAATAGTTCAACAAGAAAGTGTGAAAGGCTTCCACGGTAATATAAAATGTGGAACCAACCATAACACATTTTTAGTGTTTTCTTTCTTTGCTATCCGTGATTTCACTGCTTCATTTTTGAAAGCAAATATCTTCTTCAGTTGTGTGTTTTGTTTAGGTGGTGATTCTCCCTTGAGAATGATTGCTTAGCACACTTAGTTTGATGATCGCTACTAAGGGACATCTGAAATTCTGCAGAGAAAATTGAATTATTTAAATGATATGGGCTTGGGCAGATATTTAGGCAAATCACTAAGGACTCATAATTTCAGGGATTTTACACAATAGCCATAAGGGCTGGAAAATAAAAATTCATATTATGAAAACTCCAGTTTCAGTTACCATTATGCAAAACTTTTGATATATTGTCTAAAATTAGGCAACAGGCTCTGGTGATAATTCAGAGTTGGGGGTCAATGAGTGGCAGGGGTGAGTTGGTCAATAAGCTTCACCAGTTGGATTCATGGGGAGGCTTGGAGTGAGACCAACTTGATGCAACTCCTGCTGGTGATGCAGGATTACTACAAGAAGAGCAGCTGTCTTGGGATGCCACTGTCCTCACCACTGTTCAGTCTGAATTCCAGCCAGCCTCTTCTTGTCCCACCAAAGCATTATATAGGCCAGCACTAGAAGAATCAGAGGAGCAAGTTTGATTGGTATGCCACTGCCCAAGATGGCTTGGAATCTCCCAGAAAAAAAAGAGATCTGCAATCTCAAAGTGCTATGAAGAACCTTGCATTTTGGCGTGCTTTTTGTGATACTCACACCTGGTCCTCACAACTCCACAGAGGGACAACATTCTAGTCTCAATCCAAAGCAGGTTTATGTAGCTGACTTCTTAGATCAGCTACATAAAGTGAGCTTCAGTGCTGGTTAGGACAGCAATACTACCCCAGACAGAAATAGGGGAATAAAAATCCTTAGGGAAAAAAAAAAGCAGTGAAACAAGAATCCTTTGAGGTTGTTTGTTGTTTTGATCTGGAGATGTGCTTTCCCTTGGCACAAAGAGGTAAATGCTTTTTAAAGATCCTGCCTAGTGGGATTATAGTCGTTTGTTTTGTGTCCCTAGAAGGAAATGTCTCTGGTGAAAACTTTGTAGATAAGTAACTAACAAACAAACAATTGTTCACAGGCTCTCAGCAGTCAGATTTCTTAACACAACAAGGCAAAATAGTCCACAAACCTGATTTACCTTTTTATAGCAACTATGTTACTAAAATAGGAGGTTCAAATGTTCCTAGTTGGTTCCCTAATAAAACATATAGCCTATATTTACCCTAACCCAGGACTGTTCTATGTAGGTCTGGGGGTATTCATCAGCAGTTTTCAAATGTGTAATACTACAGAAAGTGTAGATAGAAGACAATACTAATGATGTCTGCCTGAAAAAGCAAACTTTTTCTCAACTTAGCCAAAACCATCTCTTCTTTCAAATTTCCATCTGTTTTCTTACCATTAAAAAAACTTACTAAGAAGAGAAAAAAAGATGGAAACTTGAAAGAAGATATGGTTTTGGCTAAGCTGAGAAAAAAACAAAAGTTTTTTTTTAATGCTAACCCTAGGAACAATCTCTTGGGCTAAACCAGGGGTATTCAAACTTGGCCCTTTTATGACTTGCGGACTTCAACTCCCAGAATTCCTCAGCCAAACACACTGGCTGAGGAATTCTGGGAGTTGAAGTCCACAAGTCATAAAAGGGCCAAGTTTGAAGACCCCTGGGCTAAACTGATTCAGGAAGAACTGGGCAGTCATGCACAACTTTGATGGTGGTGTTGGGGTTGCATATTTTTTAAAAAGCCTAATCAAGCTTGTGCATGCAAAATGGAAACAATGTCAAACTTGCTCTGAGCCTTCTTCCACACTTTGTATGTGAAAGCTAACTGTGAACTTGGACAAGGTTGCACAAATTCAGCATTCAGGATAATTTCTTAAATGAGCAGAGTATCATTATAAGGCTCCATAACTTTGTTTCTTTGGTGAACTTGCTGTGATCTGGGTTTGATTCCATATGGTTATATATATGTCCTAAATATAATCTTGCCTTCTTCAACCTGATGCTTTCCAGATGTGTTGAATTACAATTGCATCAATCCTCAAAGCCATAATCTTATACAACATCTATTGTACTACCATTCATACACATGCGTTAAAAAGAAACTGGTTTTTTATATAAAATTTAATTTGTGAAGCATTTTTGCAGTTTTATTGAATGCAGCTGTTCTCATTTAGTGTCTTGTTAGGTCTTTCAGTTTGTTACCTTACAAATTCTGTGGCTACAGTTATGAATACAATGCACAGATTACCCTACAATTTATCTTTTCAGCCTTTTATATGTCTTGACAGTTTCATGCTTAGATTCTCTTTCTATAGTTTGATCTCAAGAATTTATGTATTTAAAATAGTGGGAAATAAACTCTGTTATGTTGCAATAAAATAACTGATTTTCTATGGTCTCACCATGTCCTTTGGGTGCCCCAGAACTTAGCAAAAGATAAGAGCTACCTTTTCAGATTATTTAATATATACATGTTGTTAGAACAGTGTAATATGCTTCAATTTATGAGACAGGATATTTTCCATAGCAACTTCTCCATTCTGGTTTTTATTTCTGCTCAGAAAAGCATTTGTCATTTTTAAAGCCAAAAAAAATAATCAAATGTTTTATATCCAAGACATTTGTATTACACTGTATATATATCTTACATAGTAAAACAAGGAGAAAGATGACTATAATAAATTTTTCCCTCAGTCGGTGGTACATTTGTCTTCAACGGCCCACAAAATGAGAGAAAACCTCAGCTTTAATTCTTTGTTCAAATATCTTTCTAAATTAACCATTTTTAATAACCAAAGCTGGTTAGCTATTATCCTGCAAGTAAGATAAACCAGTTTTACTTAAAAATGGGTATTGTGTCTGGGTGTATTTATGTATTTATGTGCATATTCACACACATTAAAAAGTCATGCTGTGCTTCACATTCCATTCACCGTGCATGTGGGCACAAAAGGAACACTTTCTACAACTTTTTAAAACAATTCTGTCTTTTTCCAGAATTTCACAACTTTTAACATAAACTGTTAAAAAACTCTTTTCTTATATTTCAGTTCATTCATATATTTTCTGACTGCTGTTAGCCCTGCTAAGTTTCCTATGGATACCAGAGACTCCCAGCTAGGATCAAAAAGTCAAGGCCACCATTTTGATTTTTGGAACCCTTTTTGGATATTCCTGATGGATATAAAGGTGGGATTATAAATTGAAGTCATTATGCACATACATTGCAGTAAGTATAAAACTTGTGTTAACTACAGAACTCCCATACTGAATGCAGAATGTGGCAGTGGTTTATTTTTCTGCTCTAATGTTCACTTTCAATTTTTGATTTCTCATTTCTTGCCTTTGGTTGTTTCTGCCACTGCTTTGGCAGGGATAGGTAACTGTTATGAATTACATATAAGATGGATTCAAACCAGAAGAAATAATTCTGTCACATGAATCTTGCAGGCAGTTCCATCCAAGCCATGAGCAAAACTGGACCTGAGAAATCCAATGTTATTGTCATGGCCTCAGGAAACCCAAAGCCAAGAATTACCTGAGGTTGATCAAACACGACACCCCCTGAATAGCTGGGGCAGAGAATGATGTCAGGACTCCACTCTTCCTGCACCTGGCAAGTAAAGTGAAGAGCAGAGCAAAGACATTCTATAACAGGGGTCTTCAAACTTGGCTCTTTTATGACTTGTGCCTGGCTGAGGAATTCTGGGAGTTGAATTCCACAAGTCATAAAAGGTGCCAAGTTTGAAGACCCCTGTTCTATAAGACTGCTTGCCAAACAAGGAAATAAATCCCTTGATTAATGGCCAGTCCTGATCTGGCTCTTGGAACTTTGGACTAGATTTTGACTATTCTGTGTGTTGCCACTAAAAACAAAACCACTCAGACAAGCTTCTCTTTTCAGAGACTCTGTTTTGGATTGCATTCCTTGTTTGTTGTTATCTCCTTGATCTTGAATAAAAGGTTAATTTCCATAACAACTGTGTGTGTATGTGAATGGTGTGCTTTGCAGGTGTAGTATGTAAAGCAATCGTATAAATTGGATATGAACAATACGTGAACTGGGGTTTGGATGAACAACCAAGTACACACAGCACTGTGTGAGACTCTGAATGTTTCAAAGATTTCCCATTCCTGCCCTAGTTAAATATATTGGAAACAAACTTCTATATGATTCTAATTTTTTCAGTAGAAGCTTGGACTTCTACAGATGGCTGGGAAAATTATTGTTTACATTTGTGAATTGATGTTGGAACCTCAGAATTAATTTTACTTTGACATAACCATCCAATAAACAGTAAAAGTTTCGGAAGCAGAATGAAATTAGAGTTTTATTTGGATTCTCGAGCTGGATATTGACATGCTAATGTTTTCAACACTGATGTAGACAGTTGGGTGAAGAGTCTTCAACCCCAGTTGGTAAAGGGAACGAAAATCTTGCAAATAGAACAATGCAGCTGATTTTATTATCCAGAGTAAATATACCCCAAACATTAAGATTTAGCAAGTAACAGCATTAAAGAACTTTTCAATCGTTTGTTGCACAAAAAACAAAGATAAATTATAAATTTATTAAAACTAATTTTATTATTATACTAGTGTATACATTTTAAATCCACATGCAAAAAGATTGCATTTTCAAGAATTATTACATTTTCTTTAAAATGTTTTTATCTCTGCAAAAATAATGTGCTTGCATAGATGTAGAATAGTACTCTTTTTAAGAGCTATAGACATATTAAATAAATTAGCAGTTTCATCAAATTATCAATCTGATAACCAATTATCAATCAAGTTTACCAATGCAATAATATTAAGACTACTTTTGTCTCTTCTATGTAATAAAAGTATAAATAGCAACAATATAGAAGGGAGAATTATGAACGACTCAGATATGTCTAATTATTCCAGCCATGTAGGATTCAAAATTAAGCAGGTCAACATTAAAAAAAGGAGAATGTAATTTTCACTCTTAGTCTAGTTGTAGATAGCAAAGATTTTGTTTTGTTCAAGTCTGCAAATACTATTTTGGTTCAAGTACAAAAATTCTGAAAAATATCAGCTCCGTCAAGCCAGTTTTGAAAGCAGTTGAGCCCTCTCTCGTGAATCTGCTTTCTCCCTTTATCAGTAATGACTTCTCCAGTTTGTTTAACAATCACAAGTTTGGGAATGGCTGTTATGTTATATTTCTTCTTCAGTTCACTGTAAAGAAAAGAGAAAAAATGCTATACTGTGTGCATATAAGTAAATGAACAATCAGGCCTGTCACCATTTGTCCATCACTGTGACATTTGTCTATAACTGATTTTGAAAGCATAATTAAGCCACCTGAGTTCTTAATGATTAGGAAGATGCTATTTTCTTCAAAAATTATACCCTTGTTTTTCCAAATACCATATGTCTTGAAAGGTTGTACACAAATGACTCATTTTTTTTTTAATTTTATCAGTACAAAGCAAGAGTGTTACAAAATGTTTCAGGCTTGGTCAGGATTTTCTTGTACATACTCGAGACAATGAATTTTGTATTTAAATTGAAGAACAAAATTATACTGACAGATGCCCAATGCAAATCCGTTACATGAAATACTGTGGATCTGTGAATATCTACTCCATTGTCAGCTAAAGATTGCAGCAGCTTATTTGGGGTGAACTATTGGTTCAATTTAGCATATCTAACCAGTTTGGGGGCAATTTTCTAGCATAAAATTACCTTAGTTTTCAAGCTAATGTTCCAGAGTCAATAAAGAAATTAAAATTGAAAAGAGATTAAATATTTCAGCCAGATAATGATTGCAACTGTACTTTCAAACCTACCATGAATACTCCCTGGAAAGAAAAAGAAAAAATTGAGAATGACCTTCTCAGTCTCTAGCCTGAAATATTACTGAAATTCTGCAAGATTTTAATTAATTAATTTATAAAATTTATTGGCTGCCCGTCTTATCCCAGGACCTCTCTGGATGGCTTACAATCATAAAAATGTATTTATACAGTATATTAAAACATAAATAAATTCAAACCAGGCATTCAAATTTAATGCCACGTGCGGAGGGTGGGGGCTGGCTGGAGGGAGGTGGGATTGGTTGTTAATCAACCACTCCACTGTGCTGTTCCCCCATTTTGGGGTCCCAAGCCAACTGGCAGAGCCCTTACAAAAAGATAGGAGGGTTGGGGCCAACCTCACATCGGGGGACAAGATGTTCCAGAGGGCAGGGGCAGGAGCCACAGCAGAGAAAGCCCTCCTCCTGGACCCCGCCAGTTGGAATAATCAGGCTGATTGGACCGACAACATGCCTCCTCCGGCATGAGTGGGAAGGGCCAATCCCAGTGGGGTGAGACGGTCCCTCAAGTAGCCTTAATCATGTTAATATATGCAAGGAGACATAAGAATATTTCTGAGCTAGAAGAGAAAACATCCAAAAGCCCATGGTTGCCATGAAGGCCTGCAAGATAAGTTAGCTTATAAATTATGAAAATAAAATAAAATGATATTGAAATTACAAGAAGGAAATGAATATTAATGGATGATGCGGCTATACAAAAAGTATTTTATCAACCTGATGAGCCAATTATTCACACAGAATCAAGGTAAGTGGAATTCTGCTTCATTTCTGAACAGAAGCAAAGAGGGGCCCCTCTGCTGACAGCTTCAGTTAAACTTCAGCAAAAAGGAAGAGGAGCCAAGAGTCAGGTTTACGTTAAGGCTTTTATACTTTTCGCATGAACAAGCACAAGGTTACAATCTCACTCATTGGTTATTTATCATTTCCTGGGCAGACTGATCTGGACCCTGCCCAGATTCTCCCCACAGCTATAAACTAAATGTCACACTATTTCTTACAATGTTTCCTAGAACTGTTCGACCCCACATCTCTTCATCAAACTAATGCCTCCTCTACTGATATCTAGGCCTTCTGCAGTTTCTAGAAACCATTGTGATTGATTCTTATCTGTGGTTTAGCATCTGCTGGCAAACTTCCGTTTATCTGATCTAGGTTGCCACTTTGCTGAATTTATGCAAAAAAAATTCCGTTTAACTCACACTTTATTTGCTATAGTGTAACTTAACGCATAGTTCTACCAGAGGTTCTTTTATAAGTTAAAATTGAAGTACATGTCCTTCACTGACCAGGACTTCACTGGACCAAGATTAAAGTAGCAGGTCTTCACAAAAGACATGATGTTCTGTTGGAGAAAATACAGATAGTCCTCGACTTACAATAGTTTTTTAGTGACTATTCAAAGTTACAACGGCACTGAAAAAAATGACTTATGATCATTTCCACATTTATGACCGTTGCAGCATCCCCATGGTCATGTGATCAAAATTTGGATGCTTGACACCTGGTTTATATTTATGACAGTTGCAATGTCCCGGGGGTCACGCAATCACCTTTTGCGACCTTCTGACAAGCAAAGTCAATGGGGAAGCCAGATTCATTTAGCAACCATGTTACTAGTTTAACAACTGCAATAGTTCACTTAACAGATGTGGCAAGAAAATTCATAAAATGGGGCAAAATTCACTTAACAAATTTCTCACTTGGCAACATAAATTCTGGGCTCAATTGTGGTCGTAAGTTGAGGACTACCTGTAGATGAATATCTTAGAAAAAGAAGTCTATTGAGGATTACAGAAGAACAAAGGCAAATTATGAATAGACCATAACATAACAATAAGAAAACTTTAAAAGTAAATCAGGAAAGGTACCTGGATTATCACGTTACATTTCACAAATCACGTAAATAACTGTAAATGGAGACTTTACCAAACCAAGATAAAATCTGTTTGTAAAACAGATTTTAAAATTAAGAAAAAGGTGAAATAGTTTGTTATTATTATGACAAATAAGAATCGTATGTTATTTTTAGACGTGGAATGAAGTTAAAAAGGACATGTTAAGATGGGATAAAGTACAATTGTCATTGCTGGGGAGAATTTCCGTGATTAAGATGAAAGTTTCACCTGGAATGTTATTTTTGTTTCAGACAATACCTGTTTTGACAACTGATGTACCCTTTAAAAATGTCAGAAGGATATATCTAAATTTGCATGGCAGGGAAAACACCCCAAGTTAGGTATAAGATATTTCAAGATCCAAAGGAAATAGGAGGATTGGGTCTAGCAGATTTGAAATTATATT